CAGGGCTTCGCGGTGGGAAAGCGTTTCTGCTCATCTGAGGGGCATCCAGGAGGCATGTGCAATTCCTTTTGTCTCGGGAGAAGGGACTGAGACGTGTCAGAGTGCTCAGTCTCATTTTCATATAGATAATGTAGAGCTGTTTCAGATCTAGGCATTGTGACGGGGCTTACCTCAGCTTCCCTAGAGATATTTTGATGAAAGTGTGCATCATTTTAAGGCCAAATGGAGTTGGAGTAAAAATAATCCCCTAAACCATGTGATTCATAGTCTCTGGCTCAGGCGACGGTTGATTTCCCTGCCCTGTAACACCTTGCTGCCTTAGTGTCTGGGGAAAGAGGAGCCACTGGCTCATGCTCCTGAGCAGGTTCTTCCACTTGAGGCAAAGCAAGTTTTTTTCCATAAGATACTTGACACAGCAGAAAGAGTAGGTCTTAGGCTTCTTTCATGCTGAAGTTTTCCGTTTTCAGAACGAAAGCTGTGCGCTTTCTTGCCCCGGTCGCTTTCAGCCGTCTCGCCGTGAAGCAGAGGCTCTGGGACGCTGGTCAGTGGGAGCGGGGGGTCGGCCAACCTCAGCCCGTGGGGCTACCCTCTGTCCATTCCTGTGTGTCTTGGCCATCTCCTTGTGTAGCACCACTTCCACGACTCTCTCCTTCCCTCTCCGAGGTGCCCCCCGCCCTGGCTCTCAGGGGCACCAATGAGGGCTTCTGGCTGCAGGTGGGCCTCAGAGCCTTGAGTCTACACTGAGGAGTCCCCAGTGATGAAGGAATTTGCAGGAGGGACTGGGAGGGGGTGAGAAAACACATATGACTCCTGCTCTATAATTTCTGCCTGCGTAAGATAGATGGAACAGGGATNGTCTACACCGAGGAGTCCCCAGTGATGAAGGAATTTGCAGGAGGGACTGGGAGGGGGGTGAGAAAACACATATGACTCCTGCTCTATAATTTCTGCATGCGTAGGATAGATGGAACAGGGATTTTTTTAACAAATGTGAATATTATTGTCCCTTTAGCCCAGGAAAGCTTTTCATTCCAGTCAGAAATCTTCCCTCAGGCCCAAGCATCGCTTAGAGGACAGCACACTGGGCAAGGGTTGGAACTGGTCAGATGCTGAGGGTGGAGCCAGGTCCTTTTCACTGTCACTCGTGGAGGTTGAAGGGGCTCCGGGTTATGTCTGCAGAGCCACTGGGACCCTCGGAGCGAGCTGCCGAATGCATCAGCACTGCAGCCTCACTTAGCTACGCGGTGTTTTCTCCTGTCTTGTTCCAGGGAAGATGATGGATTTCCCGGGGTACAGCCTGTCCGGGGCGGCTGCCTCCTTCCTCTTCGTACTGCTCAGCATGAAGCGGCCAGGTAGGACGCCCCCTCTGTGTGCCTGACCTTCCCAGAGACCCCCTCCGGGGCAGAAGTCTAAGTTCAAAGGGCTAGGACACTCTTAAGAGTGGGGCCCAGGGGCCAAACACCTGTGTTCCACAAAGGGCCCCTCCACTTCCCGCTGTGTTACCTTCGGACAGTTGCTTGAGTACCTTCTGCCTTAGTTTTCTCAGCTTTATGATGAGAAAAACAACATACCTACATCCCACAGACCAGCATGGGCCANCTCAGCTTTATGATGAGAAAAACAACATACCTACATCCCACAGACCAGCACGGGCCTGCACAGGCCTGCACGGGCCTGCACGGGCCTNAGCTTTATGATGAGAAAAACAACATACCTACATCCCACAGACCAGCATGGGCCAGCACGGGCCTGCATGGGCATTAAGAGAAGTGAGGCTGTGCTCAGGAAACACCCCAGTCAGTGCCTGGAACACGTTAAAGCACTCCGCATCCTTCTGCTTCTGTGCAAGGCAGCACTTAGGGCTAGACAAATGCATTGTACCATAAATTAAGTAACATAAAAACACTTGGAAATAAAGAACTAGAAGGAGAGACTTCCTGTAAATGGACTTGGAAATCTCGGGGGCTGAATTTTGTTGATCACAATGTTGTACTTTGAAAAAGGATTATGAGAATTCAGTGTCAGCGGGTAATGTCCGAGCCCCAAGGAACTGCAGCATGGCAAAGCAGGCAAAGCAGTGGCCAGGGCACCAGAAGGCATGGGCCGCAGACAGGGTGCTGCCAGGAACTTGGGGGGGGTGAGGCTGCCCTGTGCTCTGGGCAGTGCGGTTCTCACCTGTGAAAGCAGCCGACCAGCTGGGATCGCCAGTTCTGGCTGCTCACTGACTCCATCAGCAAAGAAGCAAGCTGGCTCCACTTACCTTCCGTGGCGACCTTCCGAGTAGCATCTGTGTGACACTGAACCACTAAGCAAGGCGGGGCTCCTCCTAAGGAGGATCTGCCCAAAGTCCTTACCACACTTTAGGCTGAGAAAGACATGATACACAGCATACGAAATTATTAAGCATAATAACAGAGTTATTAAACATCTCAACTTGCAGGCAACCATAAAGAGGTCAACCATGACTGGTCTGATCAGAGGGCTCAGACTCTTGACAAATCACTGCCCTTAACGCACCACAAAATCTCCTCATAAAAACTGCCTCGGGCACTAGCCCCAGGAACTGGAGTCCCGCCTGCTCCAGACCAGAAAAGAGAGAGAGAAAACAAGCAAACAAAAACCCCAAACCCCTCAGTTTTTTACCTGGGACAAGAGCAACCCTGAAAAGTTGAAAAATCCATTGAGTAAGTTTAGTTCCTAACTTTTTAAGAAAATTGATTGCAATGTCAGTCACTAACAATACAAAGTGAAATCACTAACTGTAAAATAAATCACTATAAAATATAAAATAAATCAGTAATAAAGCTCTCTATTTTTTTAAAAAAATATATCTTTATTGACTTCAGAGAGAGGAAAGGAGATGGAGAGAGAGATAGAAACATCAATGATGAGAGTCATTGATTGACTGCAGCCCCCAACCCGGGCATGTGCCCTGACCGGGAATCGAACCCTGATCACCTGGATCCTAGGTCGAGCTCAACCGCTGAGCCGCGCCCGGCCGGGCAATAAAGCTCTCTATTAAAAATGGATTTACACATTAACTTCTCTGAGAATAAAAACAACCCAGAGATGATGGTTTCAGTACTTTAAAGATGAAGAAATTGAGATTCCAAATCTCAGCTCCCACTGTTTTGCAGACGACTTCAGGGCGGTGGGCCCGGCCGGCCCGGTCCTGGCCAGGGTCGGGGAGGAGGCCCTGCTCA